CCATGTTTTTTATGTAAATGGTATCCTAGTAAAAAATTAAGAGTTAAATGTAAAGATTGTTTTCTAGAAGCATGTAAAAAATGCTTGATACAAAAAGATTTAGTAGAATTTGAAGAAGAAAATCAAAATGATTCAATTCAAATAGAATTATCAGAAATAAAAATATTAAGAAAAAGAATAGAAAATTTAGAAGATATGCAAAGATATATTTTACAAAAATTAGAACTTTTGGAATTAAATAAAAAAGGAAAAAAACCCAGAAATCATTCCTGAACCAGAATTAGTTCAAGTTTTTTGTAATTCAGAAAAATTAAAAAGTATTAAAGTAAAATGTTATGTTAGAATAGAAAATTTTGAAATAAATTGTCTAGGTTTAATAGATTCAGGATGTAGTCATTGTGTAATTAATAAAAGAATTATACCAGAAAAATATATTATAAAATCTAAGGAACCTATAGAAGCCCAACAAATGGATGAGAATTTTTACAGTTATCAAGATATTCTTAAACCAGCAAAAATTAGTTTTGAGACTAATTGTGGAAGAAGTACAGAATATAGAAACCAGCAAGAATTAGTTTTGAGACTAATTGTGAAAGAAGTACAGAATATAGTTTACCTAAAGACTCAGTATGGGTAAGAGAATTATCTTTAAATACAGACTTAATTTTAGGATTAAGTTTTTTGTTAAAAGATAATGGTAGCATATTAATTAGTAAAGATTATTTGCAATTACAAAAATTTTCACTTTGTGCATCTACTTATATTAAGACTATTCCATCAGAGTATTCTGAGAAGCGTGGTGGAATAATAGAAAAAGAAAAAGAATGTGAGTGTAGTAAAGAAAGAGAATGTCAATTAATAGAAAAAGAAGAATTAGATAATTTTTTAGAAGAAGAATATTATGAAAACTTTAAAGAAATGAAGAATTATGTTTAGAATTTGTAGAAATTGAAAATATATATATATTCTCTTAATTTCTAAATTAACAGAATTTGGTTCTCAACCTTCAAAATGAAATAAATTGAGTCATCAACTTAATTATATTTTCGAATCTAGTTTCCCACGTGATAGAAATTGTAATCTGAATTTTAAAAAACGTGCGAATTAAAGTTAAAGAGCAAAACTGTCAAAGATTTAGCATGAGGACCCAGATGCACATATTTAACGTGACTTTCACATGTGATTTTAATGCTTACAGTTACGTTAATGATTTTTGTCTTGCTAGGACCCATATTTAGAAATTTAAATAGATAGGTTGAAAACTTATAATCTCAATTTTAGATGTTCGGAAGCCAAAATCACACTAGTTAAAAGGTTAGAAAGTCTACTCTAATTTTTCCGAAGAACATATGATACAACATTACACCTCCAAAAGTACCGGGAAATGTTTTCTTCATAAATAATGAATCATTATTTATCTTGCTTAAATACAAATTTTCAAGAGCTATTCTCTATTGTACTTCTTCTCATGTCAAGTGAGGGTTGATTTTTTCTTTTGTTTCCTTTTTTCCACAAAGATGAAAATCTCGAAGAAGGTTTACAAGAAGAACAGTCATGTTCACTGAACAAACAGTCCAGTGCATTGCGTACAATTATTGCTTATTTAGAACTTTGCATACAAAAATCCAGAACAAATATTTCCTGTGCATATCAGCGAATTGAGCCATCTAACTGACAGGCGGGCCAATGATGTGGACGAGACCTATCCTATCCAGTATAATATATCATCAATTCTATTACCCGTGTGTTTGAGCCACGTTATTTGAAAAGAATGTATTATGAAATAATAATTTGATGGAGAATGTGTGATTCAAAAGTGAGAAAAAGTTTTGGGTTTACGTTTAATATTATTTTATTGAAAAAGTGTGATGGAAATTATATCAAATCACTGTTTATAAATGTATTTTTTTTTTTTAAAGAATGTGACTCAAACAGGACCTAAATCGTTCCGTTTATAGTGATATTGTATGAACTTATTCAAAATCAAATATTAATTTCAATTGCTATTTATATTTATAAATGATTCATAAATTTATCAAATGGAGGCTACGTCGTTGGGTTTAGACAGTATATAAAAATGCTTTGAAAAAATGAATATATCGTGTTCGTAACATCGTGATTTTCAAATGAAGAGATAAGCAAACTTAGACTATCTCCAAAGCTGCATTAAAATTTGAGGTAAGTTTTACACATTTTTGCACCAAATCATACACCAAATTAAAATCATCTTTAACCTATTACACCAAAACTTATGTCAAATGAACATTGTTTAATCATTTTCTTCACCTTTTCAATTCTTAGCAATGTATTTATTTGAAAAAATATATATTTGTTTATTTATTTTACAACTACATAAATTATTAAAATAATTAATTACGCTAAATTAACAAAAATATTGAATTATTATTGATTACTAAATTATTTACTTGTTTTGTGTATTACGTTAAATTGACAAAAATAATTTATTAAATTATTAATTTATTAGAAATAATGACTTTAAATTAACGAAAATAATTAATAATTACAAAAATACTCAATTATGATTGATGATATTATTAAAATTTATTATAAATGATGATGATGATAATATATTGTATTAAAAATGTATAATGAAAATGACACAAATACCCCTAACCAATATGTTTGGAAAATGTAAGAGAAGGGCAAAATTAACTTTGCATCATTTGGTGCAAAATGGTGTTTAGAAATCTCCATCGAAGATAACCTTAGAATTCTAATTCTTCTAAGGTAGTATTCCACTAATATCTCACCTCTCCCTCGAGAAAGACTTCTTTGCCTTACTAGATTTATAAACATTTTATATCTCTAAATCGTTTAGAGCGTGTCGAAAATAGAATATAAATAAATGAGTCGATCTTTTTGACCAAACGATTCAATGAAGTCTTTATTAATACATTGTATAAACTGAAAAGGTCCCAGTCAACAAGATTTTGGGAGGATATTTTTCTTCATTTGGATTGACATATTTGCACACTCCTAGGGTTCTCATAAACCCTAATGCAAAATGAGGGCAGTGAAGCGCATGCATGGGATGGAGCCTGCACGTGTGGACAGAGAATAAATCAACCAATGAGGGAACTCTGAGCAATGCTTCTTTCTCAGTGCATGGATTTATGAAGATTTTCATTTAGTTTTTGCGGGATCCAAAGATGAAATCTTTCAAACTTTTTAAGGCTTCCAGTACGTAATGTCCCTTACAGGTAATAGTGAGCCATCACTTAGTGTCTTTTTAGTACTCTTTTGCAACTTGGTGAGTTTAATCACCTTTTTGTCTGGTCCAGTGGCGTGTTACTTCATGAGTTACATAAGCATGTGTGTTAGAATGAATGTAGGGAACGAAGATGAATAGATTGATGTTGGGTGGGTCATGTTTTAAATTAACTTATAAAGACCATTTTATAAGAGTAATATGATTTCGATAAAAGATAGTAGAAGAGAAATTAAGGAGTACAACTGTACAAGACCATAATTGGCATGGCGTAGTCATGTAGTTATTTTAAATATTAGTTCCATTAGATCAAGCAATGAACAGAGAGGAATTACAAAGAAGTAGATCCTAATTTGCAAAGAATAAGGTAACATAAATTGGCAACAAATATTTTGGAAGTATTATCAATGTGCATAAAGGATTGGCAGGACGCTCATTTCCAAATACAAGATAAATTTTAATTTGTCGAAATTACATGTTGTCAGGTAAGCCATAAGTGATATTTAATGCAATTTTAATCACATATATCGGAATTTGTTATTTCATAATACTTTTTTTAATTTTTCTTTAAAAAATTGTACATGTTACAACCTACAAGCTAGTCGTGTACAATTTTTAACTCCATCTACTCAAAATTTAAGCAACCAATCCCAAATCCGGATAAAGGAGAAGGGTTTCTATAATTGTATTTTGTTTTTATATATTTAAATTAAAAAAATTTGAAAATCGACGAGCTCGCGAGCCGAGCTTATGCTCGTAATGAGCCACGAGCATGAGCCGAGCTCATGTTTGCCACCACTAGATGTGGTGGTGTGATTCATGTTATTTTGTACTAGATTTTCTCAAAGATGTGGGAGCTACAAATTCCCAATTGTTTGAACTGGGTTGATTGTATCACGGCTATGAATTAAAATAAAAGTGATACTCGAATCCCTAAAAGATTTATAAAGATAAATAGTATTGTGTTCGACGAAATGCGTGTATATCAATTTTAACTGAATTTATAAGCTATTTATAAATTTGTGTCCAATCGGAGGCTAACTTAAGGCACATGATTTGTTATAAAACATGGATGTTCACCCTACATTAAGATATAACTTCTCATTATTTGGCAACAAATTTTTACATTGCCCACAAAACTGGGAATGCATATGGCCTTTACTTTTAGGATTATTCTAAGGCCCAAGACATTATGTAACCCATCTTTCCTAGTGGAAACGGCCTTCAAAGCAAAAGTCAAGCCCAAAGTCCATGAGCCCTCATGATTTATGGTTGAGTCCTCGTTTTCTTTCCAATTTCTTTGTTTTTTGATATCTTCCACTCTCTTTGATTGGATTGTTTGGACGTTAGGGATCTTGTATAGTTAGTTGTATTTATGTTCAACTTATCTAGAATTGTTGGGTGTTTGTTCCATGTGATGTGATATGGAATACTTATATCAAAAGTTAAATATTAATTTCAATCGTATATTCTATATTAATTTATAAACTATTTCAATCATATACCTTCAACAATGGGTCCCTAAGCTTTAGTGTCGCCAGAAAAACAATATCTAACTTCTATCTTCGTTTTCATATTTTCGTCAATATCAACTTAATTTACTCGCACTTTTCAGAAGGTAAAATTGACAAAATACCATGTTTAATCATTTTCAATTATTTTCTCAAATTTAGCTCACACTTTGAGCCTTGTTGAGCATAAAGTTGTGACATGAAGAATTTTCACTTGGTATACAAGAATGTGCAAGTGTAGAGAGAGAAGAAAGAAGGAATTTTAGAAGGGTCACATTCTTTTAAAAGCAAACCACCAAATATGTGAAATGTTTATTAATACTGCAAATTAAAATCAAAATACAATTTTAGCCCTTATGACTGGGAGCTAAAGATCCAAAAGAAGCAGTGCTATCATATTTACTTTCTTTGTTTCCCTTCTTTCTTCAAAAATAACCCTCCCATTAATGATACTAAGGGCTTCTTCTTTGGGGTCTTTTTTGGTGAAGGCTTTTGCTCTCCGTCTTTACCTCCATCATCCGTGTTTATAATAACTCGAGTTAACAATGGAGGACTTGCAAACTTAACAGATCTCTTCCTCTCAAATTCCAAGCCATTTTCTTCTTCAGTTAGCTTCTTGATTTCAGCTGTGTTTTCGATGAACTTTAGCTCTTCAATTTCTGGTTCAACAAATTGCTTGTCGTTCTCGATGTGGGATTCTTTGGATTTCAATTGTTTTAGCTCCATTTTAGTCTGTTCAAGCTCTTGTCTCAGAGAGTTGAGGCAATGAACCATCAGATTATTACTTTCTTCTTTCTCTTTTTCAACACTCTGCTTCTTTGTTTGTTCATCATGATGATCACCCCCAATTTTTGATGTATATTTTCCCGTGTTCTTTTTGATTTGCATCTGAAATAAAATGTGTAATTCAATGCTAATTAATAGTGATTAAATCAAGTGTTGAATATCAACTTGTTCAAATTTTATTGGGGAAAAAGGTTGAGGCCTGTTGGTGATGCTTATTAAATTTTGAATATGACTACAAACATGTCAATTGCCATTTGGCTAATAAGACCGTGGACATTGAGGTTCCACAAGCAATTGACGTTCTCGGATTTGAAAGGGTTGTTCGAATTTCTTCTTATAAGCAACTGAAACTAGTTCATGCTAATGGTAAGATATGGGGTTTAAACATGGGGATTATTGTTCTTTGAAATAGTTCATATCAATCATATTTCTCTTGAGATGAAAGAAAAGATAGGTAGTTTATCTTTGCAAAGCTACCGTCCCAATAAAAAAATATTCTCGTGATAGAGTACGTGCCTCATAAAAAATTGTAGTGAAATCACATTTCATATTCTTTGTATGCTTGGAAAAGTTTCAGAAAAAACCACGAAAAGTGTTAAGATTTAAGAATGTTAATTTACACGACAAACATAAAATTGTATATTCAAGTGCTTGTCAAATAAAATTTTAACTGGTCAAATTTCATTTTTAACTACATATTTCACTAGACCGACAAGTTTTACAATCATACAAATTAATACCTCAACTTTTATTAAAATTTGCTATCAATAACCCAAAAGTAGTTTATAACAATCTCAGTTTATGCTATAACATGCATGCATTCACCATCACAATCCCGTTAGTAAATTCCACAAAGTTTGTTTTAAGGAATATCCCACCTGCAAAATGACAAAGAAAACACACACACGCACACACTCACATTCATACATGCATATACATATAGTCATAGAGAGAGAAGAAGATGAGAGAGAAACCTCTTTCAGTTTATTTGCATAGATTTCTCCAGCAAGAACCCTTTCCCCAAACAACGAAATTGCTTCTTTCACTGATCGGAAAGGCTGTCGCATATCGATCTCCACTCTCCCCCGCACCACCAACCCGCCTTCTTCTTCTCCTCCTCTTTCCATTTTTCCCCTAATATATTATCAATTAAGGAAACTGAACTTATTTCATTAATCTGTGCTAATAGTACCTCGAACAAGAATATGAATTCATCGAAGGTGTCACAAAGATATACACACACGCATACTCTCTCATTACTACTTATATATATATAATATGCAAGTACATAACTATAGCAGATGTTTGTTTGTAATTAATAGTGGGGTTGGAGGTGTTGATGAGTTGAAATAATTAATTGAATTTGGAGGAGTTAATAAAAAAATAATGTGAGTGTTTTCTTCGCGTCCACTTCACTAGACAAATGCTGTTAGCCCAGGTGGTTGCACCATCAATTTTTATCAAGATCCATTATCTTCTGTATAAATATATGTTAAATACGTATACAAATCAACTTCATTTCAGAAAGGAAACTACCAATTACACCAGAAGTGGACCGTTTTGATATGAACCAGGCTCCTCTCTTGTGGACCCCAATTTTTTATGCCCTTCTCTTTCATTATTTTCATCAGCTGTTACATAATAATTACATACAAAAATGTAATATATAGGATTATTTTAAGATTCTAGATCTTGAGTAATTCACCAAAAGCCTTATCGTGTCTTGAAATGTAATACATAGTTAATTAGGTCAAGAGTGATGACATCGACTGTAAGACAATAGGAGTAAAAGACTTGGCCAATTGAAAGGACGTTATTGGAGAGCATCAATTGATTTATGTTATGTAATGTTCTTTCATGTTGGACACAACATGTTTGTGTTACCTTTTACAAACCAAATTAAAATAATAAATACAAAATCTTAAAGAAGTTAAGTATATAAATATATTACTAATAGTAATAGAATGAAGGAATGCATACTTTAATGGAAATTGCTTAAATAAGTGAATTTCTAATCGTGTGTAAGTAGAATTTTGATTTCAATAAAACTCATATTTTTATCCAATAATGGAATGGATAAATTTTCACTCTGTCTATATTGTACTGGTTAATTAATGTTTGTATGTGGGTTGTAGTCTGCAAGATCGGATAAAACCTAGACGGGTTGGCTCAAATATGGTCTAGTATGTTGAAATCTTGATTTAACCTTTTAACATCAAAATATCTATCTACAAACGAAGGATAAATGAAGTACAGAATTTCGGTTGATTTTTAAACTAAATTTGCAGTAAAAATCGACAACACACAATGAGAACAGAAAAATAACACAAGAACACCAAGTTGTTGACCCAATTCAGTCGTGAATAGGCCTAATCTGGGGGGCTCAAGGACAATCCGTTCCACTATGGCACAATCTACCTTCCAAGAGGGTAAGAGTACATCAAGAACCACTCAAATCTTACAGTTTCAGTCACCGATATAAAAATCTCGTGAAACACACAAACACGAAATCAACCAATCGTTTAGGAGTTTTACAGTACAAGATCAGCCACTCTCTCAGGCCTGATCATTAACCCAAAATATAAACTCCATAACTAGATCGCAGAAATTATATACTAAGAGAAAAATTTTACAGATTCAAAGAAAACTCAAGAGGAAGCAGAAAGAGAGACGCGAAAAGAGAGAGAGAGGAAAAAATCTGGAAATCTGCCCCAAAAGTCACAAGACTTTTGGGTGTATTTGGACGGTTCTCATCCCAGGGATGATCTCAGCCGTTGGTTTAATCCAATGGTCCAAAACGAGTCTCAACTAGCACAATCCAAGTGAGTATCAAGTATTCAATAGTCGAGTGCCAATTAGGTAGAATTTTCCAAATAAGCCGAAACCTCAATTGACAAAAGTAGCACTCGCTTTAGAGTGTTTTGAGAAACATCACTTTTCACATTCTTCATCTTGATTCTCAATAACACTCGCTCTCTGGTTCCTGAAAGTACCATGGAACAACTGTTCATCATCATCACCCTAGTACCTGCAAAAGAAAATTAACATGTGTTAATATGAAATAAGGATAAACATATTTTAAACTTACTTACAAGTAAAACTTTGGTTCCCATATCAGAAGGATTTCTATCAGTATGAACTTTAATCAATTTAACTTCACCTTGAGATATTTTTTCTCTTATAAAGTGATACTTCACCTCGATGTGTTTCAATCTTTCATGATAGACATGATTTTTACTAAGTAGCAAAGCACTCTGACTATCAGTGTATAAAATAGGAGTATCGTTCATAAAGTTCAGTTCCTTTAAAATCCCCATTAACCAAGTACATTCTTTCACAACTTCAGTTATAGCTACATACTCAACTTCTGTGTTGGATAATGTAACCAGTGGTTGCAATTGTGATTTCCAAGTTATGCAATTTTCCCCAAGGGTAAAGAAATAAGCCGTAGTAGATTTTCCACTGTCTTTGTCACCAGCAAAATTAGCATCAACATACCCTTTTAAAGTTAAATTTTCTGATCGTTTCTCATACACTAATCCTAGATTTAATGTACCAACAATATACCTAAGTAACCATTTCATCCCAACCCAATGAGGCTTGCCAGGATTGGACATAAATCTGCTTAGGAAATTGATTGCATAAGCAAGGTCAGGTCTAGTTGTTATCATGGAAAATATTACAGAACTTATGACATTTGCATAGGGTATATTTTCCATTTCCTTCACCTCTTCTTTAGATTTAGGGGAGTGAGACTTAGATAGGTTCATGTGGGCAGCCATATAAGAATGCAGTTTTCACGTCAAGTTGCTCAAGTTCCCAATTATATTGAGCAACCATGGCCAATATCAACCTTATAGTTTTATATTTGATTATAGGTGAGAATATCTCATTGTAATCAACTCCATCTATCTGAGTATACCCCTTTGCCACTAGTCTAGCCTTAAATCTAACAGGGTCAGATGGGTCATTACCCTCTTTAAGCTTGTAAACCCATTTACACTGCACTACCCTATGATCCTTAGGTTTTTTAACAAGCCTCCAAGTTTTATTTTCATTTAGGGATTGCATTTCTTCTTTCATGGCCTGTAACCAATTTTCAGAATTTTTTCCATGAATAGCTTCTTCATAAGAAGTTGGTTCTGCTTGTTCCATTTCTTCTCTAGAGACTAAGGCAAAGTCTGTCATATTTAATAGTTCATATCTAGGATTAGGTCTAGGTTGTCTTCTTACCCTATCCCTAGTTAATTGATAGTCTTGAACCTCAGTTTGTTCAGCAGTATGTTCAGGTTCTTCAGTTTCAGCCCCATTCAGGGGTTCATTAGGCTCTACAGGTTTAGTAACTTGTTCAACCTGATGATGTACAACTTCGTTTTCATCATCTCCAGGTTAAGATGGGTTAAATTTAGTTAACTTGACCTCACTCTGAACAGTCTAGTTGTTTACATATTCATTAGTTCCTTTAGAACTTTGTTTTAGGCATGGTATTTCTGATTCATTAAAGATTATATCTCTACTATTAATAATCTTAATGCTTGGAACACCCAAAACCCACAACTTGTAGCCTTTAACACCTTCTGAATATCCTAGCATCATACATTTGATGGCTCTAGGTTCCAACTTTCCTTCGGATTGATGTGCATATGCTGCACATCCAAAAACCCTTATATGAGTTAAGTTTGGGGTTTTTCCTATCCACAATTCTTGTGGGGTCTTAAACCCTATACTACTAGAAGGGGGCCTATTAGTCAAGTAAACTGCTGTACAAGCAGCTTCAGCCTAAAACCCTTTTGCCAAACCAGAACTAATAAGCATGCATCTTACTTTATTCATTATAGTCCTGTTCATTCTCTCAGCTACCCCATTTTGCTGAGGTGTGTATTTCACAGTCCAATGCCTTAATATTCCTTTCTGTTTACAGAAATTATCAAATTCTATATTATAAAACTCCAGCCCATTATCAGTTCTTAGGGTTTTTAATTTCTTCTCTAATTGATTTTCAACAATTTTTAGCCATGTTCTGAACTTCTAGAAGGTTTCAGATTTAGCCTTTAAGGGATAAATCCAAACCTTCCTAGAGTAGTCATCTACAAGTGATAAGAAGTATTTACTTCCACCAAAAGTGGAGTGTTTTTCTGGGCCCCAAATATCAGCATGCACATAATCTAAGGGCCTATTGGTTCTGTATGAGCTAGATTCAAAACTAACCTTGTGAGACTTACCCAACACACAAGTCTCACAAAAGTTCACTGGCTCAATCTCATCTTTTCCAAGTAATTTTTGATTACTTAAAGATTTTAGCCCTTTATTTCCAATGTGTCCCATTCTATTGTGCCAAAGACTAGATTTGTTTTTATTAACAGTTAAAGCATTTGAATCGGGTGATATAACTGTTTCTCCCTCTAGATAATATAACCCCTTCCTTTTAGGTCCTTTCATCATAACTAAAGAGCCCTTCATAATTTTCAGGTTTTTATTATCAGATTTGAAGGTATATCCCTCATCTTCAAGTATCCCTAATGAAATAAGGTTCATTTTCAGATTTGGGACATATCTCACATTTCTTAAAGTTCTGACAATGCCATCATACATTTTTATGGCAATGTCACCTGTGCCAATCACAGTTTGGGAATTATTATCACCCATATACACCTTACCTGGTTCTATTTCTTTATAGTTATAAAACCATATTTTTTCAGTACACATATGAAAGGTACATCCAGTATCCAGAATCCAGTCTCTAATAGAGTTTTCAGTTGACACATTTAATACATGCAAGCTATCCAATTCTGACACTATGGCTGCATTATTCTGATCTTTTAATTTCCTTTTCCAGTCAAAGCAGTCCCTCTTAAAGTGTCCCAACTTCCCACAGTTATAACATTTCTTATTACTTCTATCTTTAGATTTAGATCTGCTTTTAGATCTCCCCTTCATTTTCTTGTTTTGGAAATTAAATTCCTTCTTTTCGGTTCTTCCCCTTATAAATAGGCTCTCTTCTCTATGTTGGTTCTGTTTTCTCTCCTAACTTCTAACTCTCTTGACCTTAATGCATCTATTACAATCGATTGTGTAAAAGTGTCCCTAGCATATTTTATGACATTCTTAACATCTTTGTAAGATTCAGGCAGTGAATTTAAAAGAATAACAGCCAAGTCCTCATCTTCAAATTTTTTATCGTTGTGTGCTAAACTCTTAACTATAATACTGAAGTCACTCAAATTGACTTCCAAATCCTTTCTTGGGTCCATTTTAAAACTAAATAATTTTTCTAACAAATATATCTTGTTAGGTAGAGTTTTGGTTAAGAACA